GAATGATTAAATCCATTATGAGGCTCTTTAAATATCTTACAGCCATTTAGAATGATGTTTATAAAGAATTTTGAATAATATGGAACATCCTTACAAGGTTAAGGAAATAAAACGGGCCACAAAAATAAAATATATGTACTATAATAGCTATGTTGATGCACAGAGAGAAAAAAAATTACCAATATATTAGGAGTGGTTATTTGTGAGTGGTGAGAGATGATGAAAGATTTTTCATTCTATTCTGTTTTTTTTTTTTTTTTTTTTTTTTTAAAGAATAAGTTTTGCTCTATCGCCCAGGCTGGAGTGCAGTGGCACAATCTCTGCTCACTGCAATCTCTGCCTCCTGGTTTCAAGCGATTCTCCTGCCTCAGCCTCCCGAGTAGCTGGGATTACAGGCATGCGCCACCATGCATGGCTAATTTTGTATTTTTAGTAAAGACAGTGTTCACTATGTTGGTCAGGCTGGTCTCGAACTCCCGACCTCAGGTGATCTGCCCACCTCAGTCTCCCAAAGTGCTGAGATTACAGGCGTGAGCCACTGCGCCTGGCTCTATTCTATATACTTTTCTTTATTTTCTCTTTTTATTCTACATATTTTTCTGTATTTCCAGGTTTTATACAATAGCGATCAAGAAAAGGTAATTATTTATTTAAAAAGAAAAAAAAGCCCATGAGTTATCAGAACCCAGTAGATCTAAGTGGCATTACAAACACTATTGTGTTCAGAGGTATCTTCCCTGTCTAAGCAGTGCCAGGTTAGGGAACACTGCCCGTCAATGTTTCCCAAACACCAGGAACCATCTGTCCCATAGTGTCATATCTGTGTAGAACCTACACCATTACTTAATATTTTTATAGAAATCAACAGTTTTTTTAAATTTGAACACCTGTATTTCAAGAAAAATTGTAAATCACTGTAAACAGAAAAATAATGTCACATGCCATTAATGGGAAATAATCACAAAAAGAAATGCAATAAAACAAAACAATATCATTAAATACTAAACTGGTAAACCTGAGCTTGAGACCTCTTTTTGCTCTGTTTAACAAAAGCAGGGCCTGAGGGAGAGTATTTTCAGGGAGGAGGAACAGATTTACAAGGGCTTGAGAGTAAGCCTAGCCTAGCAACAGACTCCTCAACGGATTCAGGAAGATTGGAAGACAATGAAAATTATTTTCTCACTAGACATTTTGATTTGTTTTTAATGATTTGCCCACCTACCACCTGAACTGCCTAGGATACAACACCTGGGGAAAGTGCCGTGCAGTGTTCCCAGCACCAGTGGGTCTCCCAGGGTCTGCCAGTCACTTACCCAGCTGCTTTCAAACTCAAGAACAGGTGTTTGTACCATCAATGCCTTTCCACCCCTCTTACCATTCCAAAGTCCTGTCTTTGTTCAAGACCATGGTATTTGCATGCAGTATTTTTAATGTCTTCATCATTTATTTGCAAATTATGCTTCAGGGCTTGTGAAACCATAAACTTGCCAATGCTGTGCCAGTCCTGAGTCTGAAACAGGCCAGGCAAGTCGAAGGGGGCACAAACATGCCACCTATGCAGGGAAATGGTGGAAGCCAGATTCGAGCTCAGTGAACTTAAATGTCACTCATTACGCAGAGGAGGACGCTGAGGGCCGAAGGAGGGAGGCACTGATGAAGAGTGACAGAGCTGGGTTAGGATCCAGTCCCCAGCTAAGTCATCTTTCCTCCACACTCCATCTGAAATTTGCTCAGAACCAAAGATCACTGGCCGTTTCTAGTTTGAAAGGTTCGCCTGCTTTGGAATGCCCTTCTAGCCACAGGATCAGAAACTATTAATAACATCAGAGGCCAGGCTGGCTCAACTCTGTAATCCCAGCACTTTGGGAGGCCAAGGAGGGTGGATCGCTTGAAGCCAGGAGTTTGAGACCAGCCTGGCCAACATAGTGAAACCCCGTCTCTACTAAAAATACAAATATTAGCCAGGTGAGGTGACAAGTGCCTGTAGTCCCAGCTACTCAGGAGGCTGAGGCAGGAGAGTCACTTGAACCTGGGAGGCGGAGGCTGCAGTGAGCTGAGATGGTGCCACTGCACTCCAGCCTGGGCAACAGAGCAAGACCCTGTCTCAAATAAGTAGAAAATAACATCAGAGGCCAATATAAAGAAGAGAAGGAATCCTCCTGCAAGTGTTTCTCTTTGCGTCCCTGAAATATCAGTGACCTCTCTTCTACTGGGAGCCTGTGGAAGAAACATGGACCCATGACCTTCGGTGGGAGAGACCTCGTATGGCACATTCTACCATATACAGAGCCTCTCTATCTCCTAGTCCTCCTGTCCAGCTGCCTCATTTTATAGAAGTGAGTTGGTCCCAGAGAAGAAAGGTGACTTGCTTCAGATCACCCAGCTAGTAGGTGGCAGTGTTAGGCTTAGAATGCAGTTCTTCTGGATCCAAGTCTATTGCTTATTTAAAAAAAAAAAATTCTCAATAAAATTCACTTTTCAGGCCAGACACAGTGGCTCATGCCTGTAATCTCAACACATTGGGTGGTCAAGGCAGGCAGATCACTTGAGCCCAGTAGTTTGAGACCAACTTGAGCAACATGGTGAAAACCCACCTCTACAAAATATACACAAATTAGCCAGGTGTGATGGTGCACACCTGTGGTCCCAGCTACTCAGGAGGCTGATGAGAGGATCACTTGAGCCCAGGAAGTCAAGGCTGCAGTGAGCCATACTCACACTGCTGCATTCCAGCCTGGGTAACAGAGACCCTGCCTCAAAAAATTGAAAATTTACTTTTCAATCCCACAATTACTCTTCTCCATCACTTCCTTGCATATCCTCAACTCTCTCTTCCTTCACTTCACGCTACTTTGCCAAAACCACAACCCTGGTTAAATCCAACTCCGCTTATTTGGCACCTGACCCTGTGTAGCTGAACAAAATTTGTGAAGAAAGCACAACCATACCAGCTGCTCTCACATTTACATTCACATTTAATGATGCCAGGCAGTCATACTACACATTCTCAGTCAAGAGATATTGGCACATCCCACTTAATAATTGTTGAATGAATGAGTCAAATACATGAATTTTAGTTAGGGTCCCGTTAATGCTGTAGTTCTGCTTGTCCAACTTTTAACATTTCACAGAACGAATTTTGAAACCAGGCTGTGGTGTGTGTTCAGGCTGAAATAGTAACATTGTCATCTTTGTTTGGAAGCTGTCTGAAAGGCGTTTGCCTGGGGTGGTTCAACCTGTCAGCGAAGGAGGCTCTTCATTTAAATTGTTGTCGGAGCCAGGGCTTGACCTGAGAACCTCAGGACTTTTCTTCCTCGGGAAAGAGCCTTTTGAAGCATGTCTAGCGGTCGGTCCAAAGCTCAGGAGCTGCAACTCAACTTATAAAGGCTTTTTTGTAGCATTACTTGCATAAGTAAATAGTTGGCTTCCTATTTCAAGGAAAGATGTGTTTGTTCTCAAAGTTGTCTCCTGGCACCCACTAGGGATGCTGGAAAACACACCTCTGCCCTCCTGATGTTGTTTTGAAATAGCCGGCGCAGTTTGGATTCTTTGACCACAAGAACAATTGTACACCGCGGCTGAAATACAAGCCACACTGCTTCGTCCGCTCCGGTTTGAATCCCATCTGTCCCCTACCTTGTCATAAAGCTTACTAAGAACCTGACCTCCTTTTCACTCATTGTAGGTGCCCATGCCAATGATACGCATTATTTGTTTTTCATTGATGTCAGCAGTGCTAATGATTAAGTGAAACACTCCACCCCATTCAAATGTCTTGCTTTCACCTGCTGATCCCATTGTGAAGAAAGGTGCAGCGTGCCTTCCAGTATTTCTCCCAGAACTGATCGCTACAGTGCAAATAAGGTGAAACAGTGGAAAGTCAGCCCTGTTGATGTGAATCATGCCCCCCCAACCAGCGCCCCAAATGTCAGCCTTCTCCCCACTCCCTTGGAAAGACCCAGAACAGATATTTCACCACTAAGTGGTACCAGACAAAAACGGAAGGTATAAGCAAAGCAGACATAAGCAATTTTCAAGGTAGGTACTTCAGTTGCACACTCTTTATGTATGTAACTGACAACCCAATCTAATTTTTTTTTTTTTTTTTTTTTTGAGATGGAGTCTCACTCTGTCACCCAGCCTGGAGTGCAGTGGCATTATCTTGGCTCACTGCAGCCTCCGCCTCCAAGGTTCTCCTGCCTCAGCCTCCCAAGTAGCTGGGACTACAGGAGCATGCCACCACACCTGGCTAATTTTTGTATTTTTAGTAGAGATGGGGTTTCACTATTTAGCCAGGCTCGTCTCGAACTCCTGACCTCATGATCTACCTACCTCGGCCTCCCAAAGTGCTGGGATTACAGGCATGAGCCACCATGCCAGGCATGAATTTTTTTTTTTTTTTTTTTTTTTTTTTTTTTTTAATGATGCAGAATTCTAGCTCCTGTTAGGGGCAAGCAAGAACGCTATTACCCTAAGGTCTGGGTTGCCTCTAACAAGAAAACACCAAAACAGTGAAGGATAATTGCCAATTGTTGGCTCAAAAAAAGAACAATAAAAGGCAATCCCCCACTCCGCCCTCAGCCCCTACTCTTGCCCCCTTATACTCAATCTCTCCATGAGATTTAAAAAAGAAAAGCCCAGGAAATTCCAAGCATGAATGCCTCCCCAGATAAGACAGAAATGGAAGAAATCCAAACTTTGAAAAGTAAGCATTTTGATCTTCATGCAAACATGGAGTTAATCTGGGGACAGCCAGGCACAATTACACAGATGAATTCATTGTGTGAAATGGTCGCTGAGTGTAGAGAATGTCCGTGCCCGTTCAGAGTCCAAGCTCTGTAGGGGTCATACCTGAATCTGCTGAGCTGAGCACATGGAAACCCCGGTGTGCATTCAGCTTTGACCATTCTTTTTAATTTATTTCAGAGTGGCTCACTGGGGTGGCTTCAGGAAATACAAATAAGTGTCTGCTGTAGTGTTGGAAAACATGCTGGGTTTTGATTTGTGTTCAACTGAAAATAGCGATAAAAATCTTTGGGCCTCTATTTACATGTGTTAAAGTTGTTCTTCAGATAATGGTATGTTTTTAGACTCTTTTACCCTTCAAATCAGCTTTAATTCATTGGGAAAGGAAGCCCTCTGGAGTGACGCAGCCTTAGACTGGGCATGATGGCAGCTGGGTGCTCGCTCTGGTTGTGTCGAATTCCCCAGGGGTTCTGGGGTACATCATTCCTTGACTCTGGGTCTCCACATCTGTCAACCGAGAAGTCCCAGAACTGGCAGCTACAGTGCAAGTGAGGTGAAACAGTGGAACGTCAGCCCTGTTGATCTGAATCATGCCCCCGCACCCTTCCAACACCCCAGATGGTGGACTTCTCCCCACTCGGATGTGGTTGTCCTTGGAAAGACCCAGAACAGATATTTCACTACCAAGTGGTACTAGACAAAACCAGAAGGCATTAGCAAAGCAGAAGTATGTGCTGGACTAATTCTGTGATCCGGTTCTCTAGTTCTGAGGCTCCAACTCAGTGGAGTTTGGAAATACCACTCCATCTTCAAGCTTTTGTTTTACACAAATGGGAAGTATTTTTACAACGTAAACTGCTTGTGACTCTACAGCCTAATGGACTAACCAGACCCATGGACTCAGGGCCACAGCAGGAAAGGACTCAAGTCTTTTTGTTTTAAACACCCATCCCTGTTCCAAACAAGGGAAATTCTAAACTATTCAAGTATCACAGGCCACGAAGAATGTGTGAAACTCAGCATTGCAAAGGAACTGCATTTTCTCAATGTTTATAAAATATTTGCACTGAAAGAATCCTTAGCAAGCACGTAAGTCCCGAAAGGTTAAGCAGCTTGCCCAGGAGCACACAGGCAGCAGGGAGGGTATCAGGACCAAAATGCAGGCCTCCTGGCTCCCAGCGGGTTCAGGCTCCAGCATGTGCCCTTCATAGTTAGGAAAGTTCACCTTTTGAATTTGCCTTTTCATATCCACCTGCACCCTTAACAAACAGGGAATGGAAATGTTGAGTTCTGCATGTTGGAGTTAGATCATCTTGCAGTTCATTAGAGAAATCAGTATTGATGAAAAATGCACAGTTGCCTAGTCTGTAGGACAGTTTCACAAAAGGTGATGGTCTTCATTTGACGCTTCCCCTGTTTTGTCACTAGAAGCGTAGCAGCCAGGAGGCAAAGGAAGGAAAGAGGCCCTGGTCTCCTCCGGAACCATGTTACTGACAGAACAAGGAACAGCTTCAGCTGGAGATGTCTATGCTGACTTTGTGGTGTGGATCAGAAAGGGTCCTGGCTTGCTGATGGAGCTCGGGCCAATGGAAAACAGGGCGGTCTTAGAGTTAAAAACAAACAACCCTGGGTGTGGTCTCAGAATATCCTCTGACCTCACAGCTTTGGAAAAGGGACTCCCATTTCCAGCATTCTCAAATAGTCAAGCCACCAACACACATGTCTCCCAAAGTCAGAGCTTACAGGCAAGGCACCACACTTCTATTCCATGCACATGAATTCAGGGGTTGTGTCTGCTCTAGGTCCTCTGGGGAGGGAGGAAAGGGGGAGTCAGCTGAAACTGATAGAAATTAACAGTTTAAGAGAAGCTAGCCTGGCACTGCGCGAGGTGAAGTGGGGGGAATGGCCCAGAACCAGTGGAGCTGAGTTTCACTGCATTTGGGCTGTGTGAACTTGGGCAGGAAATTCACCCTGTTTCCTCATCTGTGAGATAAAGAGAGACATACCTCCTGAAAGTATTAAAGGAGAAGACAGTCTCTCAAGAGATGCTGCCATTTCCTGAGCACCCATGGGCTCATTTTATCCTCACAACTGAAAATGCTTTTTCAGATGTCTGACATGGAAAGCTATGGCACCTAAAAGAGGATGTCACTTTGACAACCAATCCTCCCCCAACCCAAAGCCAATTATCATCATCACTGGTGAAACTGTGATACAGCCTGTGATTCACTTATGTACTTGTCTGTGTCCATAAGATCAGCTTCTGTCTTCTGCGTCTATCATTCCCAGTTCTCACTCTGTTCCTAGTGTCATCTCTTACAGATGATGTTTGTCCCTAACCCCACTTAAGTAGGGAAGCAGCTTTCCGTATCTGGAAGGAGATGGACCACACTGGGCTTGTGGAGACACCATGACTTCTGGTCCTAGATGGTGTCCCCTTCTCATCATTCCCACACAGTCACTCTTTGAGCTTACACCATCCTCATAGTGGACCCTGTTGGCACCACTCTGTGGGGGAATAGCGGCCCACAAGGTTCAGGTGCAGAAGCAAGCACCTGTCAGGTGTGGTCCTGGCTCTGCCACTCACTGTGGGACCTAAGTGAATCCACTTCCCCTCTCTGAGCCTCAGTTTCCCCAAGGGTAAAAACAAGAATCTAGATGGTGTACTTCTCAAGGGCCACTCCAGCTCAGATCCTCTGACTTGCTTAGTGTGTGATGAGGGTTATCTTCTCCCAGAAAAGGCTTCTTTTTTCTAAAACTAAGTATGGCAAGGACCTCTCTACCCTTTCTAGGTATTTCAGACTTTCTTTAAAAAGATTTATTTTGGCAGGGCAAAGTGGCTCTTGCCTGTAATCCCAGCACTTTGGGAGGCTGAGGTGGGTGGATCACAGAACAGGAATTCAAGACCAGCCTGGCCAATGTGGTGAAAACTCATCTCTACTAAACATACAAAAAAAAAAAAAAAAAAACTAGCTGGGCATGGTGGCGTGTGCCTACAATCTCAGCTACTTGGGAGGCTGAGGCAGGAGAATCACTTGAACCTGGAAAGCAGAGGTTGCAGTGAGCTGAGATCACACCATTGCACTCCAGCCTGGACAACAGGACGGGACTCTGTTCCGAAAAAAAAAAAAAAAAAAAAAGAGTTTATTTTACCAGGCTTTCTGAGGTCCACTGCCACTCAGAGGCCAAAATTCTCCCAATGTCAGTGGCTAGAAGAAAATCAGATCAAAAAGCATCCCTGCGCCTTATCTGAACCCAATTTCTGCTTTGAACCATTTGCCAAGTCTAGGGCTTATCAGCCAGAGTGTGTATGAATTACCATATGAAAGGACTCTCTCGGATCATATTTAAAAGAATCATTTAATTTAGATAAGAAAAACACCCAGTCCTTCAGAAAATACACATAAATTCTTCTCTAAATGTCCAAACAGATTTATGCCCATAGAAGATGTAATTATCTCCTTCTGAGATAAGGGAATCTTCTAGCTGTGAGGGTGAGCCAAGAAGCCAGAACTTTTTGCTTAAGAGGAGACTGAAGCAGGGCCACTTCAGAAGGTTGTCCAAGTTGTTCACTGTGCAAGGGCACTGGGCCAAGAGGGGGTGGGAGAGGCATGAGTTGCGGCTTAAATCCAGCCTGAGCTCCACCGGCCAAGTCATGTGTCCAGCGCAAGGTTACATCAGTTCAAATGGAGGTGCACCTTGTGGTAATTTAGTACAGGCTGCCTGTGTATGTTAGCAGGCAGCCCCCAGTGTAGAAAAATGGGTCTTACCTTTGTTAACAAACACATCAGCTCCCAGAGGCTCAGAGCAAGAGCAGATGGCAGAAAAGCAGAAGTGAAGGCTGGGGGGCGGGGCAAGCATGGGGAGAAGCTCCTTTTGGAAACCATCTTGGGCGTCTGTAGAGGAGCGTACACCCTAATGCCTCCCAGCTGGACTAAATGAACACGGTTCTGAGAAGACCCCAGTAAGAGACCGTTTCCAGCCCCTCCCTTCCTTTATTGCCCCTCCACTGGCGCTCTGCTCAGCCTTCCCTGACCTCCCCACCTGCACCAGAGTCCCCATTGCAGGTTGTCTGAGCACCTTTATTTTCCCTTTACAACACTCAAGCTGCACTTTGAATTATGTGGGCGTAGGGAATTTGAGTCACCTCTGTTCCCCCCGATACTAGACTAAAAGCCGTGTGAAGGCAAACCATGTGGGGTTTTGCTCTTGTACCCCCAGGACCCAGTATAGTGTCTGGGGCATGAAGCAGGAACTGTGAATGAATTAAAGCGTGTGGGCCTTGCACTCTGCATCCCTTTTTGCCAGGCCTAGGAGGCTGTCTGGACACAGTGACATGTGTCACCACGAAGTAAGTTCTGTGCCCAGGCCCAGGAGACACAGACCAGAACAGACATATCCAGCCCTGACCAGGCATCCAAAACACATATGAAGACCAATGAAAACAGCTTCCCAAAACTCACCTTAAGAGATTGTGATTCAGGGCTAGGATTTGTGAAGTTAACAAGGTCCCCCAGGTGACACTAATCAGCCTGTTAGAACTGAGAACCCAACAGATACTGTTCCAATAGATACAAAGAAGCACAGGGACCGAAGAGAAGGATCCTGGGAGGCTTTCCAGGGCAAAGGATGTCCCAGCCAGGTCTCGATGGCTGGGAAGGGCATAAACAAAGACAGAGATAGAGACATTTGCACATGGGTGAACAAATGGGGACAGGGCAGCAGGGATGAATCCAAATGACAGGAATCCACTCCTGCGGGAAAACCCAATGAAAGTCACCCACCACTCAACTTGGCTCCCAGAGCCCTTTTAAGCAGGAAGCCCACATTTTGGCAGCCCCCAGAGGAGTTCCTCTGCAACCCCATGTTTCATCCAAGCTTCTATCCGATTTTCAGTCCCATTTCCCTTCTCCTTTTTTTTTTTTTTTTTTTTTTTTTTTAAAAAAGGGTCTTTGTCTTTCACCCAGGCTGGAGTGCAGTGGCACGATCTCAGCTCACTGCAAACTCCACCTCCTGGGTTCAAGCGATTCTCCTGCCGAGTAGCTGGGATTACAGGTGTGCGCCACCACGCCCAGCCAATTTTTGTATTTTTAGTAGAGACAGGGTTTCACCATGTTGGTCAGGCTAGTCTCGAACTCGTGACCTTGTGATCGGCCCACCTTGGCTTCCCAAAGTGCTGGGATTACAGGCATGAACCACCGTGTCCAGCCCTACTTCTCCATCTTTCTCATGTTCTTTCTAGTTAGATTGTGGGCTCACGGGGTCCAGTGGCCATCAGGGAAGTATTGCCAGCGGGTTCTTTGATAAATAGGCCTGACTGAAGAACTCCAAACTGTCCTGGCTGGATATAGGAGATGCTGAAGCTGGCAAAAATAGTAGCCCCTACAGCCAATATCTACAGCCACACATCTCCAGTGTAGCAGAGAAGGGTCATCTTACTTGATATAAAAGCAGTATCTGGAGCATGGAGGTCAGGCCCCAGAGAGGCCTACACATCATGCCACACTTCCATCTTTTTTTTGAGCCCAGAATGAGAAGGCTAACATTGGAAATGACAGGGGATGCCTGTGGAATGGGAGGGCAGATCCTCAAACACCTGCCTGAGCCCTGCCTGAGCTGGAGCAAGAGAATCCACACGCTGGGTGACTCAGGCTGTAGAAATGAGCTCTTACCCCAGGCTCCCATCCATCCTTCCACATCTTTCCATGACTGCCTCTCTCCCTCCTCCTCCAACGGGCCTGGGCTGGTTTGGCGTGCCAGTGCTCTCTTGTAACTGGACTTTTCTAACGGGCCTGCCTGTTGCCTGGACATGTTTTGGACAACAAGTAAATAGGCTGGAGAGAAGAAATGGACGTCCTCAGCACGTGGTCCCTCTCTTTGGACCAGGCGGCCTCTGGGGAACCAGTGTGGATCTGAAGTTCCCAGCCTCTGCACCAAGCTGCAGACCCAGGTGTCTTCTGAGCAATGCCCCACGCCACAGTTCAGTGCCACCCAGCCAAAGCCTGAACTATCTTGTCTGCTATCCAGTTATAAATTAATCTCTTGTCATCAGTGATTAACTTACTCAAGCCACAGGAGCTGCTGAACCAAAACAGCCCCTTGGGGTGAAAGAGCCTCCAGCATGGTGTGGTGTGTAGGTCTGCTTGTGACCCTGGCCACTCTGGCCCTTGCGCTGTGTCAGCAGGGCTCCAGCGATGGCCAGGGCAGGGGTCCGGTTCTGGGCACCGCCACCCTGGAATGTTGACTGCATCCCTCAAAGTGGAGATCCATGCTGCAAACATCTAGGGCTTGTAGGTGTGTGCGTGAGTTTGTCTGCAAGGAAGGTTTTGAAAAGGGGGTTGAGGTGGGCCATGTCCCTAGGGGTACAAATCACCTGAATACAAAGAACCTGAGACTCACAGAGGGGCAGAGGGGAGCCCAACTTTGGAATTCACAGATGCTGAAGGGAGTTGTGGGCCACCTCTTAGAGCATAAGCCGTCACAGCAGGAAGAGGCCTGAAGGTCATTACTTCCAACTTCCTAATTCTACAGAGGCCAAGGAAGAGGGCTTTACCCACCCAAGGCCACACTCTAAAGCCGATGGGGAGGAAAACAACCAATGTCGAGTCTTGCCTGTTTGTCAGATAAAGGCTCATTTAGTCACCACCATGATGATAGGCAACAAACAACTTCCTTAGAAAAACGTTTCCAAGAAATCCTTCTATACACCACTGCTACCATTTAAAGACTTCAAAAGGAAGATTTTTCTAATTTTTTGTCTGAATAACCCTGGTAGATTTGGTCTCCCTTCTTAGTTCAGGGCACTTCACAGCAATTTTTAAACGGTGGTTTTATTTACCTCTAGGGTGTTCCTCCCTCAGAAAACTGTAACCCCAGTCTACCCAGGAGAAAAACATCACACCAACCCGAGTGAGGGATGTTCTACAAAGAAAGCACTGTGGGGCTAAGGAGACACGATGATTAAGTGGAATGTGGCACCCTGGATGGGATCTGGGAATAGGAAAAGGTCATTGGGAAAAATTAGTGGAATGTGAATAAAGT